TTAAACCCCCCCCCCCCCCCCCCCAACATATTCAATAGTGCTACCTACCTCTGTTGGTGATCTCTCCCAGTGGTGACACATGTAGGGACACTACAGAATTACAGGCTCTTTCCACAGCATTAGTTAACCCTGCTTTTGGCTGTCATAGTCGATAACAAATAATGAGACAAAGTAAAATATCTGATAAAGCAAACGTATTTTGAAAAAAATATAAATTTATACAGAACATACTACTCATTGGAACCACAGTTCTAGTTCAACTAAAAAACACTTCAATTCCCTATCACAGAAGACTAAAACTAACTGTAAATTTCAAATAGGTAAAAGGATGTGTACAGCAAAAATCAATTTGCAGCTTTGAATAGACATCCTGCTAGTCCACAGGCAAGCTATTTTCCCTTTTTTTTTTTAGAATTAATTACTTTAAACAACTTAATTCACCTCTATTGTGTCAGGCTAAGGTTTTGCAAGAATTACTTTGAGATTATGCGGTATTCTAACATCAGACTAAAGTAAACAAAAACCATTATAAAGGATGCCCGTTCTCAACACTGCCATTAACAGAAGAGCCAATTTTTATTTACCAAAAAAACAAACTAGAGTCAAACCACTAAAACTAAATGGATTATTGATGTCATACTCTCAGCACATTAACAAGTCCTTCAACTTGTTTCCACTCTTCAACGTTACAGAAAGACAAAACTTTTGTACAGATTAACTGTTTATCAGGAGTTGACAAGCTGCTTTTATATAAGAATCATCTTTCAATTTTACTATCCATCAGATAGCTAAGAAATATGTCCACATATTTGGCAAAGTGACTGAAATCAGCCCCAATGGAGTCCAAGACAGCCGTATCCACCACCAGTTACAAGGCAGCATACTTCAACCTGAGACCATGAGCAATGTAACTATCTCAGACAAAAAGCTGAAAAAGTTCTCATTAACAAAACCCCAAGAAAATAAGCTATTAAACAAAACTTGTTATAGAATTTGTACTATTAGGGCACAGCAAACTAAAAATAAACATAAGCTGTATACTAATACAAGTGACAGCTGGAGCTTACTTATTAAAATCCTACAGAACTAAACTTTGTGTCCAATGAAACCATACCCAATGCCACATTGTGACACTGCCATAACTAATTTACCTGTCCGCTCTGCAGTAAAGTCTTCCTCTCATTTCTGTCAATAGGAGTTGAGCAACATGTTGTACTTGGAGAACTTATTGCAAGATCTGTGCCACAACCTACAAAGAACAAAATTGTAAACAAGGAATTTTTTGAATTGTCCAAGTTTCATTTATTTTAATAAATGGCTAAGGCTCATTACAGTCACATAAATACAAACAAGAAAGCAGCTACTCAAGAAAAAGATTACCCTTATAAGACAGCTAAGACATGGTTTTATGCAGCTGGGAAGGGGGTGCTGTGAAAGAGACTATTTTTATCCATTTAACCTCTATTTTTTATTTCTATGTATGTAACATTAAATATAATACAAGGAAGAAATAGTTTTTTAATTTAACCAGCAAATCAAGCAAAACGCCAAATATGAGCTTACTTTCAAAACAGTCCTGTATGACTTTCAGTACATTTTGTCCTGGCCGTACATCAATCTTATTTCTAGAAAGAGGAAGAGACAAAGTTATTTTCAAAAATATTAATTGTTCCTATTCCAGTAATATGAAAGTATTAAAAGTCCTTAATATTATAGATTATTATTTTCCCTAGTCTTAACTTTAACATATTTTACCTACCATTTCTATGCAGAGATATATTCAAAGAAACTTAGGAAATAAAAATTCCAGAAAAAAAAACCCCCACTGTCACATGATAGGATGAGAATGAAGAAATCTCTCAGCATAGAAGAAAACATACAACTATTGCAACAGTCTCAGGTAAAACACTTTTGAGACAAATAGAGACTGTGACTTGAAATCAACTTCTTAAACATCAATCCTCAAGTAGTAATGCTGCCTGCACAATGATCCAGTCTCAGCAGACCCCAGAAATGACTCTTTCATACAAGGAGTCGCCCTCTGCTTTTCTTTCTACCATTTATCCACAGTCATTCTGTGCTTCCACAAAAGTTTCGGCAGCAAGAACTGCTTAAGATATGAAAACCATAAGCTAGTGAACAGCTCAGCTGCTTGTACTAGTATTTCAAATCTCCCCAGGACAAATGAAAGTGGCAGAAGTGATCCAGTAGCCAGACCACATTAATCAAAACAAGAGAAAAGCCATGGAGTGTTTCTCCTGTAACAGTTACTGCATGCCTTTAAAAACAGGTAATTTGGCATATTTGATGAGCTCACGAAACGCATGCCTAAAAATTCCAGTAACAAAAAGCTCATGGACTTCTGACATGCCTTTAAAGAAAGCTACAGCACTGCAAATACTTAAACTCATCTCTAACATTTACCAGCAAGGGCCAAATAAGTTAGACTTCTTGGGCTTCATTTCCTCTACCTCTTCTACAATGTTTGTACCACCTACTGCTTCCCTGCTCAGGCAGCCTAGTTAGGCGTGGCTTAGGTACAGCTACAGCACAGCCTCCTCCCTCAGCAGGGGAGTACAAAGGAAATCCTCACTGCTTTGCACTCCCAGACATCTGCTCTTCCCATTGCTAAGAAATAGAGGTGGTTTGGAAAAAAACGTGTGTCCAGCCCAATAAGATTCATGTAGTAGTTTTGATCTTAACCTCTCAGACAAAAACAAACAAGTTTTCCAAACAATTGTATCTAAAAGTAAAATGTACATTACCCTCCTCCATGGCAGAATCTTGCTCTGTAGCTTTTTTTAAAGCCATTCTGTTAAAAAAAAAAGAAAATTTTTACTAAACATGACTGTTTTTCTTAGAACTCCACAGATGCTACAACCCCTTTAACAACCGCTCAAAATTCAGCATTTATTTTATTTAAAGTCAGAGACAGTTACAGAAGACTTTAATGACAGAAATTAGAGAGTCTAAGGATTTGGCTAATGTTACAAATAATCACTTCTTTGTTTGTGTCAACTGGAACAGAGTGTGTAGATGCAGTGCGGAAATTACCTAGTCCCAAGAGAACAGAATGCTGCACGGTTTTTCCTAAGTTTGCCATACTGACATTACTTTGCACTTCTCGGTGTTCTGTCTTTGGATAGGGTTTCTATTAGCAGAAATAATCGAAACGACATCAGGATTCATTGCACTGCAAATCTTCAGTATCAGCTCCTAACGGCAGGAGGGAACTCGAGGTGACGGGGAACCACGGCCCCAAGCCCAGCGCTTCAGCAGCACCAGAGACCACAGCGCACCTGTCCCTCACGCTTAAACCTCCTCCCCTCGCAGCGGGGTGCAGCACAACCAACTGGCAAGCGAAGTGCCATGGAAGAAAATGAAAAATACCTGTACCGGGTGTAAACCGGCATATAACATTTTACTTATTGCTATGCTCAGAGCCCGCTACGCACGAAGAGCTTTTAAAGCTCGAACTCCCCGCGCACCCCTGACAGAGGGCTGCAGGGGAAGCGTCTCCAGCCAAGAGCCGCGGCTCCTGTGCGGGCTCCGGCGCCTCAGGAAGGCCCCCAGGGAGAAGCGGCAGGCGCAGATGCCGGCAACCTCGGGGAGCGGGTCTCCCGACAGACAAGCCCTCGGAGCAGACGCGTTTGTGCCGGCAACCGGGGTGGAGAGGAAGGGGAGAGCACTCCCAGCAGCGCTGCTCCTCTTGGGGGGGAGCGGAGGGCCCGGCGAGC